TAAGTTTTCTAAAATAAAATGCCTTCCGACTTAGTTATAACACAGTAACAAGTGAGGTTACAAAAAGTGTTCACTGTTTAAGGTCGCTCTAGTTATCTACTATCTTAAAAGAAGTAGATATAGGATAACAATACGTATAAAGGGTAATTTGTTAACAAGAAGCAATGATAATTAGTATGTAACAAAATTATTAATAAATATAGCTAAAGTTCTTTAGCCATAGTCATAGTATAGAAAATTTGGGAAAGGCCAAAGCTTTGCACTATCACATTCACTGAATATTGGCATCGATGAAAATAGGTATCACTAATTAAGATATAAGAAGGAATTAAAGTGGTCAATGATTCATTAATAACTGGTCAGTTATTATAAATATTCTGATTAATCAAATCAGCAATAGTCAGAAGTTGCTATTAATCTATATCACATTGACATAAAATATGTTGCTTATTCTGATGGTTCTGTAGCTTTTTCAAGTTAATATAAAACCAATATAACTAGTGCCAGTAGAGATGGAATCAAGGATCTGGACACAACAGTCAAAGCTTAATATATTTGGTATACATATTGATGCGTTATAATAATTTATTAAATTTTTAGAGATTTCTCTCCAATGATCATATCCATCTGAAAAAAGATCAGAAAAAAGTATGGCCTCTAAATTGTGATCATTATATGGAATCAATAACTTCATGTTATTGAAATGCTTCATAAAACCAGATAATAGTCTACTGTAATGAAAGTCTTCATCATAAACTTCAGTGTCAAAATCATATGATGACAACTATATCAGAATGACATGGCAGTTGTATGCTATTAGATAATGCATTTTCATTATTAATTAATTGTGTTATAGGAAAAATGTTCAGAAGATGCATAAAAATAATTGATAAAAATATCTGATCAAATTGTTTGAAGAATCAATTATTAATTTTCAATTAGGCAATAGAATATAGCAAAGATAAATGAAACTAGTTATTGTTAGAAGCAGGATCTAAGATGGCACCTAATGTTTCAGCATAGATTTGTAAGGCACAAAGATTTTTTGAGAAACTAAATGCACTACTAAGATGCTGATAGTGTGTAAAATGATTTGCATTTTCTGCATGTCTGAGAAAGCAACTTAGGTGAATAGGTAAAAGCCAATAACAATAAAATATAGAAACATTTGATAGCGCATTCAGAATAGGAGCAAGTGTTGAAGCATTGTAACATTTAGTGATGAATATACAAGAAGTATATACAGCAATATAACTTTCTTTATTAGGATGTTTAGTGATCAACAAAATGCAAAAAAGCTCTAAGAAGATTATAATTGACATCAGTATCACAAGAGACCCACTTTACTTAAGCAGAAAACATAAGAATTGAGTAATGTGAACAAGGAATACAAGAAAATATATATATAATTTCAGTCTGGAATCTTTGATTAAAAGAAATTAAAGGAGCAAAGGTTGCTATAGCAGAAAAGAAGTTAGGTCAGAAGCTGATTGATCTTGATTCTCAGATAAAAAAGTACATGCTTATAGATAATTAGCATTAATATTCAACTAGGCTTAGTTGTCTGAAAAAAAGTTATTGCACAAATCGTAATAGGAATCATCTTTATTTAAGTTAACTATAGATACTTAAGTTATCAAAAGAGACATCATATGTGAATTACAAAGGTTAAAATCAGAATACTATTTAAATTAAGATTATTGATAGTGAAAAATAATGAGTTCTTTTATATAAATTATAAAGAAGGGTCAAATTATTGTTCTAAAGATAACAAACTAACAATCATAATATACAATGACTGTTTTATGCAGAAACAAAATAAACAATTTGATTTCCTAAAATTGATCAATTAAAAATTTATTAATAACAACAGTATTATTTATAACAATAATGCATATTTTATTAACAAGTATGCACTTTTGTTATTTATTTATTTAAAACAAACAGGTACAAAAAGTAATAACAATTATTTTTATATAAGTTAATCATAAATAATCAAGTTATTGGAAGAGACATCTCATCAGTTCAGAATGCTAACTATTTAATTAACTATATCCAAGCAAAAAGCAAGATAATCGACAGTGAAAGATGATAACATCTTCTAATATAACTTTTAAAAAAGCATTAAAATTACTGATTTAAAGATAACAAACTAACATTATAAAATCAATAATCATTCTATGCAAAGACAAAGTAAACAATCTGATATTTCTAAAAAAGATTAATTAAATAATTTTATTAATAAAAATAAATAATAACAATAGTAATTATTCACAATGACAACATATATTTTACAAATTATTTATTTTTTAAATAATAAACACACTTGCATAGATGATTTTCAATAATGAACATATCAAAGGTAATGAATTCAAAATGGTAATATATGAGTATATAAAGCAAAAACATACTTGAAGATAAACAGAAAGTAATTTATTAAATATATGAATAATTTACATGTCCAGTTTTATATACAATGAAGAACATAGAAGAATTAAATTTATTCTAAAAAATTTAGTATTCATAAATATTGTAGTTTTAACCACAGACAGATCCTATATCAAGAGGTACCAGAACTTAAATACCACTGTTAATAGGTAGATTCATAATTGAATATCTAATCACAACAATCAGTTTATTTATGATAAAGCAAGATATCATGTATATATATTCTGTAAAATATAAGAATCATTTTTTAATTTTTTTTGAAATTCTTCTACTTCTCTTCTTTTTTTGCCCTTTAATATCTTGTTTATAAAGTGATTTTTGTTCACACAATTGGTTCAAATTATTAGACATATCATTATTAATAATATATTCATCTTGAGGGTTATTGACAATAGTCAGTTCAAGACAACTCAAAGCCAAATCAGACAATTTATTTTTGTTTTTTTGGATTTGAACTGTTTCAGAGTTTGGATCACTGGAAGCCAAAGAAGTTGAAAATAGAATAATAGATTTATTAACAACAAAAAACAAGCTAATGCTTTGTTTAGAAGTTCTTGTCACTATTACACAGAGCTTTTTTGAGCTCACAAGGTAGTAGATTTAACATTTTTGGTAATCAAGTCAATATCTGAGTAATGACTTGAAGTAATAAAGGAAGTGCTTACTTGTATATTTTGAACAGTATTGACATTTGCAGATATAAAGTCAAAGTCCATAAGTTTGACTATAGTAAAATTAGAAATGATATGCCTGATAAAACCAGAGACAATAAACATTCTGTCTGTTTTAACACTGTTATTAATATGCAAATAGAAAAAGCATGGCACACCAATAGAATAAAATACTCTTAATTTTATTTGACCATTTTTGAAATTTGTAATTGAGTTATTTTGATAACACACAGAGTCAAAGTACATAGAATTACCATATTCTTTTGGTTCATAAATGACTAGTGTAAGAAATATGCTATAAGAAACACTGAATGAAATTTCTTCAGTCTGAAATTCATGATCAGGATCAGTAAATACAATGATACAATAATAAAAATGATAAAATATTGTTTAAGATTTTTTATTATAAATTTGTTAGTAAACATCATAATGTTATTAGCTAAAAATTTAGTATAAGATGATTAAAAAGGTAAAAGTACTTTTAGTGAATGATTTTAAAATCATTTTCTGCCATTTGATACTTAGCAAATCCCTAGGTCAAAGAATTAAAATTCTTCTTCATAACTATAATAATGATTACTATAATGTGTAAAGGTATAGTTTATTGAATTATTGAAACAAATTAAATTATAAGGAAATTAAAATCATAATGAATATGTTTATAGATATATATATAATATTCATATGCATAAGAGCAGTACAACAACAGTTATTTTAATTTAAATTGAAAAAAAGGCTTTCTTAAAATATAAGCAAATTCTAAGATGAACCAAAAATAAGATAATCCTATTTAATTAATTTTAATTATAATAAATATCTAACACTTTCATAATAATAACAATGCTATTAATTAAATTTAAGTTAAGTATTAATAAAAAATTAGTAAAGAATGCCCAAATGCAAATAATATAAGAGTACAACTGATGTAGCATATTATGCCAAGAAAAATAAACAATAGACATAATAAAGTTTAATTCAAAATGACAATAATGAAACTGTCAATTTAAATTCAAAAAGTAATAAAGCATTAGCAAAGAATGTTCAAATATGAGCACAACTAGTACGAAACACTATCATAAAGCAATGAGCACAATAAAACTTAATGCAATACAATGAGCACTATGAAAAGTTTATTATATATCGGTATTGGTAAAATTAAAAAAAAACAAATAATAATTTATTAGGAAAAATTAAATAAACATTAATGAAGATTGACAATAAGAATATTAATTACACCAATAAAATGACCTTAACACAAATTCACATGATGATCAAAAAATTATAAATACAACATGAGTATGATAAAAAAATCTAATGGAGGACTTAAGCAAAACATGCAATACAGATATACAGATACACAGATATATAGGTACACAGATATACAGTGTGAGCTGTGAAACGTGATCCCGGAAGCACGTGAAAGGAGGTAATCGAGGTGGTGCAGTAATAACTAACGGCTATGTCAATCACCTACCTAATATGCGCTTCCTGGGATTATTGCTCTTAAAAGTTGTTTAGCGATTATAAGGGTAATAGCGGTGATAAGGGTTTTAAGGAAGAACTATAAGTAAAGAAATATACGATACATCAGGGATTTAAGTAATACAGGACATTAATAATATATATGTTAAATAATAAGTTTAGTATGTTTAATAGTTGTAGGAGCG